CTACTAATTCTGAAGTCAGTATCTCTATTTCTTTTTGTGTGTGTTGCCCTCACATTGGCCTCCAGGGTAATATGTTCCAGTACTTTAAATAAAGAAGAGAGGGTATCGTGCATCAAAGTAACAGACCCCATCCATGTTATCATTTATATTTCAGACATTTATCCATCTTTCTTTCTCTCTTTCAGGATTACGAGTATCTCAATCATCCCCAGTCCACACAGCACCAAAAGAATGACCGGTGTCCACCGCCGCCCCAGATGTTACCAGAGCGAGCCTGCGAGGTCCCGGGCTGCCGCTCAGACTCAGAATGCGAGCGCCACAAACGCTGCTGCTACAATGGCTGCATCTATGCCTGCCTGGAGTCTGTGCAGCCACCACCAGGTCAGCAGAAGCAGCAGACTGGAGTTAAAATAGGGCTTCAAATTATATCAAAGTGATTATTGGTTGGCAATATTTTGATGTTCACAGAAATGCAGGAAGTTATATTTTTCCTCGTATTGTTGTTGAGTATTGCAGTAGCTAAGGATGTGTGTGTTTTGAGCAGTTCTGGACTGGCTGGTGCAGCCCAAGCCTCGATGGTTGGGGGGTAACGGTTGGCTGCTAGACGGTCCTGAGGAGGTTTTGCAAGGTGAGGGCACACACCTGAACAGTTAAGGTTTTCAGTGAAATATTGTGCAGTGATATTTAATCAGAAGTCACTTTCTTCCCTTCCTGTGTGACAATAATAATCACAAACTGTAAAGACATCTTCACTGTCAATAGTCCCACCAGGCTCAAATACAACGCTCCACAAGTATTAACAGGAGGGCAGACTTTCTGCTCATTTTCTTAAAAAAAAAACCTCTAAAACTTTGAGTTTTTTTCTGAGTTTATATTTGTATGCTGGCATTTCCTGTGGGAAATATTGTTTTTTAATTATTTGAAGGAAAGACAGAATATAGTGCCACAAAATGACTTTTGCTCTTCTTATTGTCGTTTCCTTGGATACAGAGTGTACAGTGTGTTGGTTTTTGTAATAATGTGAATTATTGTTTGCAAGATGGTTTGTTCCACAATGGATTGTGTTGCTGCACGGACGTTTTAGAGTGACACACAAGTAAGGATTGTTAGGCTGTATGTTGCTGTTGTACATGGCACAGGACCAATCTGAGTCACATGACTTGTTAATAAAACTTACTACCCCGTTGGGTAGGAAATAGATATTCTGGAGTCTGAGTATAACAGAGACCAGAATATAACAGTTTTTGTATTTCTTTGCCCACTAGCTGAGGCCTGCAGTACTACTGAGGATGGAGATGAGCCTCTGCACTGTCCTACGGGCTACGAGTGCCACATCATCAATCCAGGAAACCCAGCCTCTGGCATCCCTAACAGGGGACAGTGCATCAAGCAGCGCGGCAACTCTGGTATTATTTTATTTCCCTTGACTTAAACGTTTTAGTGATCGCTCATATCTATATGTCACTTTCACAACTAACGTCTGATAGAGCTGCTCTCAAAGCTATGTGCTCTGAAGCGCCACAGGGCAGGATGAGAACGCCAGGCTGTGCCAAGCCTTCTGCTCCTGCTCTGGTGTCTCTATCTTGGCAAATGGCACGCTGTTAGATGCCAGGTTTCTCCTTTGAAATAGATCTTGAAATAAACATGCTGGAGTGACCTTGCAAATGAATAGACGGCCACGAGATGAACTGATAACGTGTGATTGAAGCTGTTGGCAGAAATATTAAACCAAGTGTTTGACAGAGGGAACTTTATCCATTCATTCAGTTTGTGCATATAACGGTGATTTTAATTACAGATGGACGCAGCTTGAGACACAAATACTTTAAGGACTACAAGGACTACTTAGGTAAGAAGCTCAAGTGAATAAAAGCTTCAAACTGAATATTAAGTAAAGCTAGTATGTCTGACATCATTGTGGCTTTTTTATTTGATAGGTACCAGCTCTAACAGTGCAGTGGGCTATGAAAAGCATCACCACAAGCACCTGGGGTGAAGTATGTTCTCAGCCACTCACATAAAAATAAAATCATCCTCATCTGCATTTTCCTGTAAACAAACCCATTTTTTTTCTCATACCTGCTCAGGTCGACTTGAACTCAGCCTCAGCTTCGAGCATAGCACAACCTCAGACATCAGTCCAGTCCTGTTTGATCCGCTCGCAGCTAAACCGGGATCAGATCTGACCTGTTTTTAAACTACGCCTCCAGCTGCTACCTCCTTTGCGCAATGCCCTGTCTCGCAGCCTCTCGTCAGTCACGTGTCCACAGGGAGACGAGTTTCTCACACTCTCAGCATGCATCCAAAGAAAAAAAGCACTTTTGTCCCTCTGTTTGATGTCAGCAAAAAGGGAGGAGGAGAGGCTTTTGGTGAAGGTAGCGCACGGTGCAAACTGAAGCTGATTAGCAAAAAGTGTCTAAGCAACCCTGATTTTTGCAGCCCCCTCCCCCCTCTCTATAATTTGTTGCTATTTTCATCCACTGCCATGCTCTTTATTCTTAAGACTGGCCAGCGGAAAAAATCAAGACCATGTGGGCTTCATTCTTAGCTCTAAATTCCTCTTTTGAAATCTGGAATGTTTTATGGACAAGACGAGAAAAAATCCAGGTGTAGCCTTGAGTCAGCTAAGAAAATCCAGATGTTTTATATTATGGGCTAATAACTCTAATCAAAAAATAATACCATGTGAGTATGTGGATTAGTAAATTTAGAACAGCTGCAGGTATGTATGAGCGAACAGATGCTGACTGAGACTTGGAAAGCAAAATAAAGAAAGACAAAACTGTTTATTTAAGAGGCCTATTCGAGATGCTCCCCCTGTGAAAAAAGAAAACTTCAATTAACCTCCTGAAGGCAAGCTTTGAAAAGACTGATTTCATTTAGACTTCTTTGACGACTTATGCAGTAAATATCTATCAGTTCAGAACAGTTATTCATTAACATAATATATGAGTGACAATAATCCCTGCTGCAGTATACACATGATAAAAGAAAGGGATTTTGCTTCCATGTAAATATTTAAATGGTGCTTCGGTAATTGCTGCATATAATAACAGAAGAATAAGCTGGTCACACGTGAAAGAAAACCACTGTGCAGAACTAAAGTGATGTCTGAATGTTTCCATCTGATTGGTGCTGTGTCGCTGCCTTGATTATTCTAAATAAACCACTTTATTTTAAAAAAAAGTTGTCCTTTGGTTCTCTTTCCCAAGTCATTTTAAGATGTGTGAAAATACTATTCACATTCTGTCAAGCCAAGAGCATTTATGTACATCTGCATGCAGTCAAATTAGCTTTCTGTTTACTATCTAAAAATGAAACGAAAAGGCAAAAATAATATTGCACGTTCTTTTCCCAAGAGAAACGCAGACTTTTTTGTTCTCATTTAGTAGCAGAACAGCACTGACTAGCTTTCAAATTAGCTGCCTCAGTTTGTAGCTGAAATAAGTGCTTTAGACCACATTGCATTTGAAACTGTTTGGAAGTTTGCACAAACAGAACTTCTGCAAGAATGGCACTGATTTGGTTCCCCATCTCGCTCATGACAGAGAACAGAAATATTTGCGTTCTTTAGCACAAAAACATGTAATGTTTGCGCAGTTATACAAATACACAGTCAGCTTGTAAAAACAAGCTTGAAGACTTTCTGACCCAGTGGGTCTTTTTACAAAGCCCTGGTGTTAGGTAGCCAGTGGTAGTGGTGGTTGTGGGGGTGGCCGTTAACCAGCCGGACAAACATTTCCTTAAATTAAGACAATAGATTTAGAGCCTGTGATTTCCATTAATAAACAACACAAGAGAATAAAAGATAAGGCAATATATGCCCCTAAAAAGTAATTTCAAAAATTGTTTTTAATTAAATATATTTCAAGAAAACATGGCATTGCTAGCAAATAAGAATGCTTGATTTTGCCACCAGTCTTCAGTAGACTGGGTGTCTGCATGTTTGTACTGGGCAGCAGGTGTGGGCTTATGCTAGTGCCTGCTTGCTTATTAGAAGTGCTCTGTAGTGATGGTAAATTTGATTCTTTTTACTGAATCGAGTTTTAATGAGTCACTCACCAAAGTGAATCGAATTTTTGAGTCATTTGCTTCACTGAGTCAGTTGACCAGAGAGTGCAAAAAATGTACATTTTCACTCAAACTTAATTTGTTTCTCTTTTCATGTAAATCCTACTGCTAGAGAAAAAAAAAAGCAAAACATTTCAAAAATTAAGCAATTTCCTATCAAAATTGCTTAATAAACATTTATTTTGTTTATTTTTTATTTTATTAGTATTTTGCTTAAATGTGTTAAATATATATTTTCTCATCTATATGTCCACTGAAATGTGAGCCAGGGGGCGGTAATGTGCCTTAACATTAGTTGCCAACCAAGAAGAAGAAGAAGCTGTGAGCCAGGAGGGAGGGGGTGAGTAGCTCAAATGTGCTGTTAGCATGTTAGCAGAGCGATGCTACTGTGAACCGAGGAGTTGTTTTCTTGATGTGAGCTTCTACTCAGGGTTTTTTTCTTCCAGTTCAGAGCAGAAATGCTTTTGTTAAGATACTGGATGTTGTTTTTCTCCACAATTTCAATTATAAGCTAGATACATTGCTGCTAACAGCAACAGGGATGAGTCAGTTGGGCTTGTGAATCATGATTCATGAGTCAGTAAAGTGATTCTCGAGTGTTGAACGATTCGTTCATGATTCTCGAGTATTGAACGATTCGTTCATGATTCGCGCATCACTAGTGCTCTGTTTGGACTTTGAATGAAGAGTGTTATTCTGAACTACAGAGACAAATTCTGCATTATTCTTTCTATTTATTTATCACATTACTTATCGGAAATATTTTAATATTTTATTCAAAGGGCTAAAACGAAACATGGTAACCAGGTTAACATGAGCAGCACTAGTTTTTTTTTTTTATTTGGAATCTTTTTAGAAAGAATTTGTATCTTTTAGAAATATAAAAGTGGGCTAACCATCCTGCGTCCAAACGCGCGGCCCCTCCTTTACGCCGTGCTACGACACCGGTATGGTCACTGAGTGCTGCTATATGGGAAACGTATAGCTCAGCGGGTGTCCTCTTCTCCCTTTTTCTCGTGCTCTCTCACACGGGCGCGCTCGTGCAACTAAGCGCCTACGTCAGAAAAAAGGGAGAACAACACTGTCAGTGAGCACTTAGTGTACAACAGCCATTGTGTTTGGTATAAGCCGGTGGTGGTAACTACGACAGCACGAAGGCTGCCAGCCGTTTGTTATTACCGCCTAAAAACCTGACTAGTGGGCATGCCGCGCATAACCGCTTCATCAACACCACCTTGCTGATCACGTCAACATGAGCGCGCCGAACAAGTCTTCGGAGAAAAGGTTTGTGTGGTCCTCTTTTAGAAGTTTGTGGTATGTAATGCTGTGCACTCTGCATTTAGTAAAATATATAAAGAAGTAAATAAATGCCCATGAAGAGTTAACGTAGACGTTTTTAGTTCGTAATGGGATTTAGAGTCTCCTCTTTACATTCCCTGTTTACCGATAAAGCTATTTAATCCTAGTGATACTTTCAGTTTTATGAATGAACTGGAGGAAGAGTTGAATGTGTTTAATAAAAGACAAACTTGTGTCCAGAAGGTGTCAGTGTAGTGTACGCAGTAAGCTGCTGAGGAAGAGTCGGCATCTGTGTCTGCTGTAAGAAAAAACAAACGTCACAGTATGCAAACATTACATCTGCATGTGGCTTCAGACTGAAACCACATGCAGATGTAATGTTGGCAACAAGGATGACAATAATTTGTGCAAGACTTATGCTTCTGAAAGATGAATCAATATGCGTTGGCATAACTGAAGAGTAGTTTAATCTGCAGTTGATAAAGCAGCAGGTTTATGTTGTTATCTTTTTTTCTTTGAACAGAAACGGCCCCAAAAATAAGCTGGATAAGCTTTTAAAGGAGAGAAAATGCACATTTCCCCTTCTGATCAAGGTATGGAAACAGCAATTCGTTTTACCACTGTGCTTTATTATTTCAACTGTATACTAAATCTTGAGGGGTTTTTTTCTTTTAATTTTGCCATCATGAAAGCTTAATGTATTACATAAGTTATTGTTGTTGCCAAGGTTTTGTGGGGTGACGGAAGGCCTCCAAGTAACCAAACACCCTGAGTTCATCTGCGGGCCATTAAATAAATGTTATTTGGGTGATTGTGTGCTCTCAGCAGAAGTGATTTATTGGGGAACATGCTCTCCCTTGTAAAGTTCTTGGCCTGCACCATGGAAGCATCTGAGAGATGTGCTCTATTCCCATTTGCTGGGAAGAGCAAAACTACTCGATGGCAAATAGTTATGACGTTACACGCGTCCCATATCGGAAGCTTTCCACGCTGACACCTGTGTTAACCCCATCATCTCTTCTTCCTGGAAAGTTCCACAGCTTTAAACTGTGCCCTGCAAGGACACATTCATGCAGGGGTGGACTGATTCGCCCACCCCCTCCCTTCTGCATGAAGGGATTAGTGTGTTTCAAAGCACCTGAGACCTCCCTCGCTGAGCTCCTATCGGACACTTTTATAGTTACTGTTGATTAAACTTTTAATACAGTTTGGACCTCTTTGCCAATAGTGGACAAAGACCAGTGGAGGAGAAATTACTGCATCCTTTAATGCAACAAAGATCATGCTCACTGTTGTCTTTCTGTAAAGCATCCTGGGTTCAGTGTCATTCAGACTATTTTTAAGTAAAGCTGGGATATTTTAATAAAGAAAATAGATGAGCAAGGTGGAGAAACAAACGAGAGAACATATGAATTTGGGGAATTGGGGACACCAGATTGATATTGCATGTGTGTGTGTTGGGTTTGAGAGAGTGGGAATTTAATGACCTATGGAGAGGGCTAAATCACAGCAATAAGAAAGCCCATCGTCACTTAAAACAGCACAACCAAGCCAAGCTTGGTTTGCAGAGTGGGTCAGCTAAACGCATCCTTGTTTAATCTTATCATGGCTCCTCTTATTCTTTGATCTTGACACTTAAAAAGGCCCCTTAAACAGATATCCTTTTTAATTAGCAATAAAACTCCCCACAGGTTGTTGAGCTAAAAGATGCCCAACATAAGAAGGCTGAAAAATCTTTGATCATCAGTGAGATATTTGATAGAGTGGTAGCTGAGGCATCATTTGAAGCTGCCACGGGCGGACTCCTCGGTTAGGGTGTCAGTTCAAAAGATTTTCTGGTTTTCTAAGTTAGGCTATCGATGCGAAGCATTTGCGTCATTGCAAAATACGGACGCAAGCAGCTGCTCTCAACAGATGCTTGCTGAGACTGGAGCAGGCAGTGTCTTTTCAAGTTTGCAGCTTT